TCCAAACATTACTTGATCATATGTCTTTTAAATACTGTAACTGTACCCACATACACTCCTTCGTCTGCAGGTGCACTCACACACGAACCACTGTGCCAAAAAAAAAAATTGCCCCTCATTTTTTTAAATCTTTCTCCTCTCATGTTAAAAATATGCCCCTAGTTTTGAAATAACCCACCCTAGACAAAAGACATCGGCCATTCACCTTATCTACTCCCCTCTTGATTTTATAAACCTCTGTAAAGGTTACCCCTCAACCTCTTACATTTGAGTGAACAAAGTCCCAACTTATCCTGCCTCTCTTTATAACTGAAACACTCCATTCCCAGCAACATCCTGGTAAATCTCTTTGAACCCACTCCAGCTCAATAATATCCTTCCTATAACAGGACGACCAGAACTGGACACAGTACTCCAGAAGAGGTCTCACCAACATCCTGTGCAACCTCAACACGGCTTCCCAACTCCTACATTCAAAGGACTGAGCAATGAAGGCAAATATGCTAAATGCCTTCTTAACAACCCTATTATTATGTGAGGCAAACTCCAAAGAATTATATACCTGAACCCTTAGGTGTCTCTGTTCTACAACACTAACCAAGGCCCTAATTTTAATTGTCTAAGTCCTGTCCTTATTTGTTTTCCCAAAGTACAATATCTTGCATTTATCCAAATTAAACTGTATCTGCTAGTCTTCACCCCATTGACCCAACTGATCAAGATCTCTTTGTAATCTTAAATAGCCTTCCTCATTGTCCACAATACCACTAATTTTGGCATGATCCGCAAACTTACCAACCATGCTTTCTATATTCTCATTCAAATAATTTATATAAATGATAAAGAAAAACGGACCCAGCACCGATCCTAGTGGATCCGCTTGTCACAGGCCCCAGTCTGAAAAACAGCCCTCCATCACCACACTGTCTCCTGCCATTTAGCCAGTTTTGTATCCAATTGGCAAGCTCCCCCGAAACCCATGTGATCCAACTTTACTAATCAGTCTACCATGTGGAACCTTGTCAGAGTCTTTGCTAAAGTCCAAGTAAACAATGTCTACCGTGCTGCCCTCATCAATCTTCTTGGTTACTTCTTCAAAGAAAAAACTCAATCAAGTTTGCGGCACACAATTTCTCTCACACAAAACCATGCTGACTATCCCTAATCATTCCTTGCCTCTCCAAATGCATAAAAACCGTATCTTTCAGAATCACTTCTAAACAATTTACCCACCAAAGTCAGGCTCACACATCTGAGTTCACAGGCTTCTCCTCACATTCCTTCTTAAACAAAGGCACAACATTAGCGACTTTCCAGTCATCCAGCACCTCACCTGTAGTTACAGATGATTAAATATTTCTGCAAGTGGCACCGCAATTTCCTCCCTAACTTCACACTACATCCTAGGATACACTAGATCAGGTCCTGGGGATTTATCCCTCTTCATATTTTTTAAGACTTCCGGCACTTTCTCTTCTGTAACGTGAACTGTTTTCAAAACATCAATATTTATTTCCCCAAGTTCTCTAGCCTCCATTTCTTTCTCCACAGTAAAAACTGACACAAAACATTCATTTAATACATCTCCCACCTCCTGCCGTTCAACGCAAAGACAACCTCGTTGATCTTTAGGGGGGCCTATTCTCTCTAGCTGCTTTCTTGCTCTTAATGTACTTGTAGAATCTCTTTGGATTATCCTTAGCCTTGGCAAATAAGGTTATCTCATATCCTCTCTTTCCCTTCCTGATCTCCCTCTTAAGAATGCTCCTACCCTCTTTATACTGTTCAACAGATTCATTTGAACCCAGTTATCTATATCTCATATGATTCTTCTTTATTCTTGATTAGAACCTCAATATCTTTATTTATCCACTGTTCTGTAATCCTACCAGCTTTATCACTCTAACAGGAACATAATGAATCTGAACTCTCATTATCACACTTTTAAATCCGCCCACTTATCAGTCATCCCTTTACCTCTGAACAGTTTACTCCAATCAATTTTTGAAAGTTCTTGTCTCCTTCCATTAAAATTTGCCTTACTCCAATTAAAAACTTTAATTTTTAGGAGAGGCTTATTCTTTTCCATAAATGTTATAAAACAAATAGACTATTATCACTGGACCAAAAGTGTTTCCTTACTATCACTTCAGTCACTTGCCTGGTCTTATTACCCAAGACAACGTCAAGTTTTGCTCCATCTTTAGTAGGAACATGTACATACTGATAATGAAAATTTTCTTGACGACATTTAACAAATTGTTCACCATCCAAACCTTTAACACTCTGGTAATCCCAGTCAATGTTTGGAAAATTAAAATCCCCAACTTTACAACCTTGTTATTCTTACATATATCCGCGATCTCTCTACATACTTGTTCCTCAATTTTCCTTTGACTATGGGGGTCTATGGTACAATTCCATCAAGGTGATCATTCCTTTTTTATTCTAATTTCAACCCATACATTCTCACTGGATGATTTTTCAGAAATATCTTCTCCAGTTACAGCAGTAATGTTTTCCTTAATCAAAAACGCCACTCCCCCTCCTCTTTTGCCTCTCTTTCTATCCTTCCAGCAGCATCTGAAATGCAGAACTTTGAACTGCCAGTCATGTCCATTCCTCAGCCAAGTTTCTGTAATAGCTACAATGTCCCAATTCCATGTTCCCAAACATGACCTGAGTACATCAGCCTTATCTGTAAGATGCCTTGCATTGAAATAAATAAACGCAGTTTCATTCTTCAGACTTATATCGTTTTTTGACTTGCTCGTATGTTTTTCTAATTAATTTTCTAATTAACATGTTCTTTTCAGATTCAAAACCATCCTCATCCATTTTACTCAACAAATTTCTAGATTTATGCTCTTAAATTTCATTTGATCCAACAATCGTTACCTTTTGAGCTCAGGTTTTCCACTACCGTTTGTGTGAAAATTACTTCCCAATTGCATTCATAAATGATGTCAGTTTAATTTTGGAATAGTAACCCTTGAAACTTCTTTCTATGGAAAGATTATGCTTTTATTTTGGACACATCAAGAATACAGCTTCCAATCTCCTTGATGAACCTGAGGTGATTAATGAATAGTTGAGATACTTGGATCAGGATGGTCTATTAAGGGTTAGTTGAAAGGCAACAATTGCTTTTGCTACCACATGAATTGGGAATTTTTGAGAGTGGGAATCAGCCAAGACTCTTGCTCAGTATCCAGCAAAGTTTGTTGTAGTTTGTCTGTGCTGATGTGAATGCAGACAAAATTGGACTTATTATAATACAGGCAAAAAAAGACTGCTGAAATGCAGTGTTAAGGCTCATATGTGAATAAGTGTTACTGGGGCAAGGAGCCAGAAGACAACAAAAACAGGAGTATGAACCAACAATGAATCAGCTCTTTCAAGATAAGTTCTGAAGAAGTCATACCAGACTTGAAACATTAACTGTTTCTCTCTCCACAGATGCTGCAAAACCCGAGTTTCTCCAAGGTTCTCAGTGTTTGTTTTAAGATACACGGGGAGAAAATGGTGTTGGTGAAGGATGCAACATAAACAGAATAGCTGTTGCAATCAAATTATCTCCAATTATTTGCTTCAACTAGGTGAACAGGTGCTATATGATGAACAGATATGTCACAATTGTGAGCAAGACTAACACATCCCTTACATCTGGCAACTGAAAATCAAGTGATCACTGCAACAAAAAGGAAAGCTCAAATTCTTAAGATTAAATCATGGGATACTTTTGCAAAGAAAAATAAAGCAATAACCAAAAGTACAATCATAAATATGATTTAATTTGCAATTTAATTTTAATTTTCATTAATTCACAAAAAATTACAAAAAGGGTGTCTAGTTGTTTACTTGTAGCAGTTTTAGAAACAATACATGTTTTCCTGCTGGTGTTTGGCTATTTATTTAAAACATTCAAATACTGATGCCATCAGTGGGAGAAATGGCATGCAGTTACTGAACCAAATGGTGCAAGGAAACGATAAACACAAAGCTGAAATGACATGAGCACTGAAGCATCCAAAGTTAATGACTATGCCTAAGATAATGATTCAATTTCTGTGGAAGATTGCCCTCCTACTTGCTCTCAAGTACTTCATGTTTGAAGAAAGAAAAAAGTAAGAATATTCAAGTTAATCTAAATCTTCATTGGTACCTCTAAGAACAAGTCCTGATGGAAACCCCCTCTTCATGGCCCAAATTAAAGCAAATTTTTGATTACTTTATACACAGTCTTGCTGTATCAATAAAGTAGCATTTTATGACCATTAAACTGAAGGGAGAAAATCCCAATGCCACCGAATGCATATCTGATAAAAGATACCCTATTTTATGAAAGTAACCACACATAAATATGTAACCCAATTCCATTATACCCTATTACAATTTCAACTGCTACACAGAACATGCTCTCTTCCCTCCAGGCTAAATGAAGAGTGCATGAAGTGAAAAGCCTTGGCAGGAAAAATAAAAATTAGGCAACAGAATACATTCGCACACCCCTCACCCCCGTCAATTTAAGACAAATTTGTTGGTCTGAATCTATTAGTTATGCATTTTGAAAATAGCAAATTCAGTGACACACAACACATTTTCTGAAACATAATCATATTATTTCATTATCTTGATTTTTTAAAGCTTTTCAAATAATTACATTCAGAGGCAGAGCCTTTTTGTTTGTTCAACTACCAGTTTTTGAAAGCCAGAAATGTAACCAAGCAGCAATGATCTGAGAGCATCCCTTAAACAGCACTGAAAACCCAATTTCATTCATAGATCTGACTGTGGGGTTTTCAATCTTCAACATTGATAATATCGTAGCCAAATTACTTGGAAATAGTAAGATGAAATGACAAACGTGTCCAGGACTGCAGGAATATAGATCACAACGACCCCCATCCCTCCGATTCTACTTCAGCTTGTGAACGTTAATTTATTAGATAGATTGGGGAAAAGATTACATTTTTAAAAAAGGAAGTAGAGAGACTCACCGTGTTGATGTGCCCTTCCTGACATCACACATACTGCATTTGAAAGCCTCTGCGCTGTTCTTGAACGTACAAACGCTACAGTCCCAGTATCCCTCGTCCGTGGAAGGCTTGGGCTGCCTTTTGGGTCTGTTTTGGACAACAAAAGGAACGGAAAGAGGTGGTAAAAAAAAATACATAGGTACACCGGCTTATTTGGCAACTAGTTTGCTCTTTTTTTCCTCGTTGCTTTCCCAGCCCCCTCTCTCTCTATCTTTTCTCCTCCCCTGAAGACCTTCCTGGCAATCGGTGTCGATCAAAAGAAAAAACTGCCAGATCCTTTGAGCGAAACTGCAGCTCCCCGTGTCAATTTCCCACGCACGCACGCACTGACTCCACTGTAACAAACCCGTCCGCCATGGCTGCTACATTGTATCGAGCTCCGCAACATTTCGCTTCCCGAACTCCCGCTCCTATTCTGCGGCCGAGCCATCTTCCATACACACACACTTAAAAATATTTAAAGAAAGGGAGGGGAGGAGAGGGGAGGGGAGGGGGGTATCCTGCCACTTCACCCCTCCCTCCCTCGGGGGCGGTGAGGGGAGCGGAAGGTCTGAAAGTACTCTACCTGGTGGGACTCTTCTTGTCTCCCATAGCGGCTTAAGTCCTCTCTATTTATTATTATGTGTTATTATTATTTGAAACCCGTCTGAATGGCTCAGGGTTCCTCTGCTAGCGCCTGGATTTCCCCCCCCCCCCAATCCCCCCCCCCCCCCAATTGTGGAAAGCAGTGGCACTGCAGGAGTGGGAGCTAGCACCAGGGCCATTGCAAACCTACCGCCCCGTGCTCCGTGCCCCCCCCCCCCTTACCCCCTAACCCCCCCCCCCCCCTCCGACACACCACCCCCAGCTGGCCTGTGACTCGCCTCACGTGGCGTGCCGGGGGCCAACCAGCTCGCCAGGATTTTTATGAAACAGACACACGGAGCACAAGGCGGTAGGTTTGCAATGGCCCTGGTGCTAGCTCCCACTCCTGCAGTGCCACTGCTTTCCACAATTGGGGGGGGGCGGGTGTTGAGGTGGAGGGGTGACAATGCACAACAAAAACAAATCTTTGCTCTCATCGGTTCGATGCCTTCCTGATTCTGTTGGCAATTACTTTTCTACCGAGGAGGAAGCCCTTATGCTGTCCCCACCCCCTCTCTCTGTCCGTGCATGATGAAATGTAATGACATCAGCGACCTGACTGCAGGACATCGGAGGGCAGCGATGAATGAATGTGAACGAGAGAGTTTGTGCTAAATTCTCAACATTGTTTACTGTGCTTGGGGCAAAGCTGTCAGCGTGGAGTGGGAGACGAAAGCATATTTGGGGCGCTACCTATTTGTGAGCTTTCATTTAAAAGGTTGGCAAACTCTGGAATTTGATTTACTTCTGAGTGAAATAGGTCATTTTTTTTTCAAACCACGACGTGAGAGTCACGTCGCATGAATAACACTCAGTGGATCTCAACAATCCAATCACTGTCACAAATATAGTGATTTGTAACCGCTTAAAATGCTGTAGAATAAACACAGAACTTTACTGTTTGCAAGTAAATCTACTGGTCGTTATATTCGAATACCAAAGAGTAAGGTCATGCCCTGTGATTTCTGCAGACGCACGTGGCTTCGCCTTGTAACTTCAAGAAGTCTTGCTCCAATATTAGGCAGGATACAACAATGCGTCTGGATCCCTCAGTTTGAAGTTTGCATGTAGCCCATATTTTTGCTGAGTACTGTGACCTGTGGTGGGTCACCTCAGCCAGGATGATTTTCACAGGTACACGACTGACATCTGTAATCCTGTCTTATACTCAAAGAGAGTGGGGGAAAAAAGTGGACTCCTGATCATTGTTATAGGAGAGAACAATTTGCTGGGTTGATTTCCTTTCATGAACCATTATTTAGAAAGTGACAACAGGGCTTTTGGAATATCAGCCAGAGTCAGAGTCAATGTGTTTTAATGAAGGAGAAATCCTGTTTGATAAATCTGTTGAGATTTTTGAGGTGGCAAATAGCAGGGTAGCTGAGGGAAAAGCAGTGACCAAATTGTATTTGGATTTTTGCAATAGCATTGATAAAGTGCCAAGTGGAACCAGAAGGTATTAACATGGATTGAGAACTGGTTAACAGATGGAAAAAAGTCAGAATACATGGGTCATTTTTGGCTCGTCAGGCAGTTACTCGTAGGGTGCTGCAAGGATCAGTGTGATTATTTGTATCAAAGGACAAAATAAATGTTTCAATTTTGATAACGATACAAACCTAGGTGGAAAATAAGTTGAGGACACAAAGCATCTAAGATAAACAGATGGATTAAGTGAGTGGACAAGAAAGCTGACCTTGGGAGACTTGATTATCAGAATATACCGCAGCTGGGAATGATCAGTGATGATTTCAGAGCCTGATCAGCTAAGCGTTTGATTTTAAGACCTATAAAACTATATAAATAAGTAACATTAAGATTTATAAAATAGTGAGTAGGGTGAGATTTTTCATTTTACTGAGATGTCTCTTGATTGACTTTTTTATATAAAAGACAGGTATTAAATTATCCTAGAGCAGTGTTTTTTGAGCAAGACCACTTAACGCTGAGTTTGTCTGTAAGCGTGTGGTGTTTGTTTTTTGGGTATCCTTTGTGTAAATTGTCTCGGGGCAGAGACAGCTTTTAGTAGAGTGATGTGCTCTTCCTGACAGATGTGGGAGATCAGGGACAATTTCGATGTTCCTGGAGACTATGTCTGTAGGAAGTGTGTTTAGTCACGAATCCTATTGGATTGGTGGATCTGTTGGAGCAGCAGTTACCGCCATGAGGAATTTACAGAAGCCAGAGGGTGTGATGGATGGCAGTTTCAGCAAGACTAAAAAAAAATGCAGATACAGTCACGTAGATGGGTTACTGCTAGGAAAGGTAGCAGAGATACACAGGTAGTTCAGGAATTTTCTGTAACAATCCCCATCTCAAACAAGTATGCTGTTTTGATACTGCAGGTGATGATCTCTCGGGAGCATATAGCATTGACAGCTAGGTTTCTGGTACTACAACTGTCTCTACTGTAAAGAGGGGTATATCAGGTTCCAAGCGATTGATTGTGACAGGAAACACTCTAGTCAGGGGCACAGACAGACATTTCTGCCGCTGAAGTGAGGCATCAGAATGGTGTGTTGCCTCCCTGGTGTTAGGCTCAAGGATGTATTAGAATGGATGCAGAATATTCTGAAAGGGGAGAGTGACCAGCAGAAGGTTGTTGTACATGTTGGCACCAATGACATACGTACAGAAAGGGATAAGGTTCTGCAAAGAGAATATAGGAAATTTAGAAATATAGGGAACTAGGCAGCAAGTTAAAAAGGTCTTCGAGGATAGTAATATCTGGATTACTCCCGGTGCGATGTACTAATGAAAGTAGGAATGGGAGGATAGGGCACATGAATGCATGGCTGAGGAGCTGATGTAGAGGGCAGGGACTCACATTTTTTGATCATTGGGATCTCTTCTGGGGTACAAGTGACTTGTATAAGGAGGACAGGTTGCACTTAAATTGGAAGGGGACCCAAAGAGAGACTGACAGAAGACCTAAGTTTCAGGCTGATACAGTACAGAACAGCAGCAAGTTAAATAATCAAGGCAGGCAAGAACAAGGCAAAAAACGAGTTAAGCCTGATAAATCATACTGCATTTATTTCAATGCAAGAGGCCTGACAGCTAAGGCAGATGAACTCAGGGCATGGGTGGGAACACGGGACTGGAGTATCATAGCCATTCCTGAAACGTGGCTCAGGGAGGGGCAGGTCTGGCAGTTTAATATTCTAGGCTATAGATTTCACAGAAAGAATAGAAAGGTAGGGCAAGAGAGGAGGGGGAGCAAAATTTTTGGTTAAGAACAGCTGTACTTAGGGAGGATATTCTTGGGGAGAACATTCAGTGAAGTTATAGGGGTGGAACTGAAAATTAAGAAAGGGAGATCACCTTATTGGGGTTATACCAAAGGCCCCCCAAGTCGGCAAGACATTGGGAAACAAATATGTAAGGAGATCTCGGGTATCTGTAAGAATAGAAGTGCTGTAATACTAGGGGATTTTAACTTTCTAAATATAGACTGGGACTGCCATATTGTTAAGGGCTTGGATGGTGAGGATTTGATAGGTGTGTACAAGAAAACTTTCTTATTCAATATATGCGGTTATGCCGACTAGAGAAGGAGTTACATTTGACCTTCTGTTGGTAAAATAAAGCAGGGCAAGTGACTGAGGTGTCAGTGAGGGAACACTTTGAGGCAAGAGATCAGAATTCTATTAGTTTTAAAATAGTTATGGAAAAGGAAACAGCTGATCTAGAAGTTAAAAGTTCTAAATGCAGGCAAGGCCAATTTTGACAGTATTAGGCAGGAACTTTCAAAAGTTGATTGAGAGAAGCTATTCGCAGGTAAAGAGATGGTTGTAATGCGTGGGGCCTTCAAAAATGAGATAAGAGTTCAGAGACAGTATGTTCCCGTTAGTGTGAAGGGCAAGGCTAGTAGGTGTAGGCACTACTGGATAACTAGAGAAGTTGAAGCTCTGGTCAAGAAAAAGGAGGCACGTGTCAGGTATAGATAGCTGGATTGAGTGAATCCCTCGAGGAGTATAAAGGCAGTAGGAGTATACTTTAAGAGGAAAATCAGGAAGGCAAAAAAGGGGACATCAGATAGGTTTCGCTAATAGGGTGAAGGAAAATCCAAAGAGATTCTACAAACACATTAAGGGCAAAAGACTAACTAGGGAGAGAATAGGACCCTTTGAAAATCAACAAGGCCATCTGTGTGTGGAAGCACAGGAGATTAGATACTAAACAAGTATTTTGCATCGGTATTTACTGTGGAGAAGGACGTGGAAGTTAGAGAACTTGGGGAAATAAATAGTGGTGTCCTGAAAAGTGTCCGTATTACTGAAGGGGTGTGCTGGATGTCCTAAAATGAATAAAGGTGGATAAATCCCCAGGGCCGGATCAGGTGTATCCCAGAACTTTGTGAGAAGCTAGGGAAGAGATTGCTAGAACCCTTGCTGAAATATTTGTATCAACGATAGCCACGGGTGAGGCGCAAGAAGACTGGAGGTTGGCTAATGTAGTGCCATTATTTAAGAAAGACGGTAAGGAAAACCCAGGGAACTATACACTGGTGAGCCTGACGTCAGTGGTGGGTAAGTTGTTGGTGGGGATTCTGATGCACAGGATTTACATGCATTTGGAAAAATAAGGACTGATGAGGGAAAGTCAGCATGGCTTTATGCGTGGGAAATTGTGTCTCATTAACTTGATTAAAGTTTTTGGAAAAAGTGACAAAGAAGATTAATGAAGACAGAGCTGTAGATTGTACTCTAAGGATTTCAACAAGGCGTTCGGTGAGGTTCTGCACGGCAGACTGGTTAGCAAGGTTAGATCACATGGAATCCAGAAGCAGCTAGTCATTTGGATACAAAACTGGCTCGAAGGTAGGAGATTTAGGGTAGTTCTTTGGACTGGAGGCCTGTGACCAGCGGCGTGCTGCAATACAGAGTACTGGGCTAATGGTAAGATTCTTGGTAGTGTGGATGAGCAGAGAGATCTCGGTGTCCATGTGCATAGATCATGGGAAGTTGCCACCCAGGTTGATAGCGTTGTTAAGAAGGCGTACGGTGTGTTAGGTTTTATTGGTAGAGGGATTGAGTTTCGGAGCCATGAGGTCATGTTGCAGGTGTACAAAAAACTCTGGTGCGGCCGCACTTGGAGTACTGCGTACAGTTCTGGTCACCGCATTATAGGAAGGATGTGGAAGCATTGGAAAGGGTGCAGAGGAGATTTACCAGGATGTTGCCTGGTATGGAGGGAAGGTCTTATGAGGAAAGGCTGAGGGTCTTGAGGCTGTTTTCGTTAGGGAGAAGGTGGTTAAGAGGTGACTTGATAGAGACATACAAGATGATCAGAGGATTAGATAGGGTGGACAGTGGGAGCCTTTTTCCTCGGATGGTGATGGCTAGCACGAGGGGACATAGCTTTAAATTGAGGGGTGATAGATATAGGACAGATGTCAGAGGTAGGTTCTTTACTCGGAGAGTAGTAAGGGCGTGGAATGCCCTGCCTGCAAAAGTAGTAGACTCGCCAACTTTGAGGGCATTTAAATGGTCATTGGATAAACATTTGGATGATAATGGAATAGTGTAGGTTAGATGGGCTTCAGATTGGTTTCACAGGTCGGCGCAACATCGAAGGGCTTGTACTGCGCTGTGATGTTCTATGTTCTATGTTTGGTGCCTCATCCACAGTTTTTGGTCATTTAGATAAATGATTTGGATGTGAATATAGGAGGTATGGTTAGTAAGTTTGCAGATGACACCAAAATTGGAGGAGTAGTGGATAGCGAAGATGATTATGTAAAATGTGACCTTGATCAGATGGGCCAATGGGCCGACGACCGGCAGATGGAATTTAACTTAGATAAATGTGAGGTGTTGCATTTTGGTAAGGCAAATCAGGATAGAACGTGGACAGTTAATGGTAGGGTCCTGGGGAGTGCTCCTGAACAAAGAGACCTAGGGGTGCAGGTTCATATTTCCTTGTAAGTGGAGTAACAGGTAGACAGGCTAGTGAAGGCGGCGTTTGGCACATTGGTCAGTGCATTGAGTTGGGATGTCATGTTGCAGTTGTACAGGATATTGGTGAGGCCACTTTTGGAACATTGCGTAGAATTCTGGTCTCTCTGCAATAGGAAAGATGTTCATAAACTTGAAAGGGTTCAGAAAATATTGACAAGGATGTTGCCAGCACCGGAGAGTTTGAGCTATAGGGAGAGGCTGAATAAGCTGGGGCTTTTCTCCCTGGACTGTCAAAGGTTGACCTCATTGAGGTTTATAAAATCATGAAGGCTATTCACCCTGTCCATGCCCAATGTCTTTTTCCCAGGGCAGGGGAGTATGAAACTAGGTTTAAGGTGGGAGGGGAAAGATTTAAAAGGACTTGAGAGGCAAGTATGCCTGAGGATGTGGAGGAGGCAAGTACAATTACAACATTTAAAAGGCACCTGGATGAGTATATGAATAGGAATGGTTTAGAGGGATATGGGACAAATCCTGGCAAATGGGGCTATATCAGTTTAGGATATCTGGATGGCATGGAGAAGTTGGACCAAAGGGTCTGTTTCCGTGCTGTATAACTCAGTGACTAAGAAGGTTGCAGATGGAGTATAATATGAGCAAATGTGAAGTGGGGCAAATGTGAAGTTGATATTTTGGTTGAAAGAATGGAAAAGCTAATAGTTTTGTAAATAGTGAGAAATTATTAAACATTATTTTCAGTGTTCTTGTGCAGGAACAAGAAACACGAAACACGCAGGTAGATCAAGCAACTAGACGGGCAAATGATATGTCAATCTTTATTGCAATGGGTTCAGAGTAAAAGATAAGTAACTCTTGTTGTAACTGTACAGAGCTTTGGTAAGACAGAACCTAGAATACTGTGCATAATTTTGATCCCCATATCCAAAGATGAACACTTACCTCAGAGTGGATGAAACAAAGGCTCACTTGATTAATTCCTGGGCTGAAGTTTGTCCTGGAAGGAAAGATCGAAAAGAATAGGCTTATAGTCCTGGATATTTAAAAGAATGAGAGGCGATCACATTGAAACAGATAAGATTGAGTCAGCTTTGTTGAAGAGATGTTAAGAGTTTCCCCTGGCTTAAAAAGACTAGAAATAGGGTGCACTATCTTAGGATAAGGGCACAGCTATTTTGGACTTAAATGTGAGAAATGTCTTCACTCAAATTTGTAGATTTTTGGAATTTTGTCCAAGACCATGCTTTAGAAGCCTAATCATATTTTCAAGCCTGAAATTAAATTTAAAAAAAAGAAAAAAATTAAGAAAAATCAACTGTTGTTGAATCGGGTGGCTGAGTAGAATTAGTTGATCGATTACCATCTTATTAAATCAACAACAGTCTGAGGGATAGTATGGTTTACTCCTATTTCTTATTGATAATCAATAGGCTACAAACTATAACACCTTGCGCATATACGGGTCCTTTAACAGTGAGTCATTCCAAGGCACTTCAGTGAACTGTCAAACAAAATGTGACACCATGTCATAAAATTTTAAATAACCAAATCTTGGCCAACGGGAGATAGGTTTTAAGAAGCATTTAAAAGGAGACGAATCCAGGGGAAATTGCAAAGCTTAGGCTTATGAGTGGAAGCATGGCTGCAAGCTTGTGAGGGGAGGAAATCTGAATGTGCAAGTGACCAGAATTACAGAAGTACAAAGATCTGAGGCATGTGGGGTTACAAATAGGAAGGGATGAAGCCACAGATGGATTTAAAACCAAAGTGTGAATTTTAAACTTAAAGTGTTTCCAGACCAAAAGCCATGGCACGTTATGGAGTGCAGAAAATGATCAGGGAACAAAACTTCGTGAGAGTTTTGGATGACCTCAAGTTTGGGTGGAAGACTAGCCACGAGAGTATTAGAATCATCAAGATGAGTGCTAACAATAACGTGGATAAAGGTTTCAGCTGCAAATGAGCTAAAGGCTTGGAAATAACCTACCTTGATAACAGAGAGTATACAGGGTTAGAAACTCAGCTCCAGTTCAAATAGTATGCTAAAAGATACAAACATTTTGAGACAGTAGGAACTGCAGATGCTGGAGAATCTGAGATAACAAGGTGTAGAGCTGGATGAACACAGCAGGCCTGTGCATTTTCTGAAGAAGGGTCTAGGCCCGAAACGTCAGCTTTCCTGCTCCGCTGATGCTGCTTGGCCTGCTGTGTTCATCCAGCTCTACACCTTGTTATATCAAACATTTTGAGTCAGCCTCAGACAATGGCTAAGGAAGGGAATTGTGGTGACTGGAGGTGGGAGGGAATGGGGAGTACATTTAAAAAGATGGTTTGAGGTGCAAAAGAGAAAGCATAAGACGTAGGAGAAGTAGTAAGCCATTCGGCCTATCAAATAGGAGGCTCTCTTTGTACTCCAGGATTGGTAGTTTTGGCAGAGAGGAGCAAGATCAAACAAGTAATGAATCACTGCAAATATTTATACACCATAAACATTTTACAACCCTTAGACTTGAGGGAGCAGAGATGGTAGCAATTCCAGGGAACAACAAGGATGAGAGAGTAATGGTATGTCTGGAGGTAAAGGCATCAAGGGTAGATTGAGGCTGTGATTGAGCTGAAATGTAAGAGAATCAGAAGTTAGACTACTGGAATTTCAAAGTGTCTCTTAATGACTTGCAGGAAGAATTTATTCCAAGGCAGACATAGAACAACATTCCTTTTAATTTCACTTCAATGTGGGCAACTAATTTCTTGAACTGCCTGGTCATTTTAAGACTGCCATGCTTGCACAGTTTTGAAGTGACTACTGTGCGATTGTGGCATGTTTATCTCCGGCACAACATATTCTAATAGCTTACCCTTTACAGCTTAGAGGGTATTTAAATTGAGAAGGATGATGATTGGAGAGGGATACAAATAAGTGATCAGAACTTCATCCTAATACTCCCCCCCCGTTCCCCCACTGACCCTTTAACGAAGGTGTCAATTTTTGTTTGATTACAATCCTGCGACTTGTCTTGGGAGGGTCTTTGTGTCCTGGTTGTGCACCATTTGATCATGAAGGACATCACAGACAAGGCTGATTATGACTTAAGTAGAGTTCCATATGTAGACATCAGTAGCCAATGATGATGGATAGTGATTAGAAGTGGAACTTGGAAAGAGCTCTTGACATAGTAGTGTCCCTCCCTCTGAGCCAGGAGGCCCAGGTTCAAATCCCACCTGCTCCAGAGGTGAAAAGGTTGGTTAGAAAACCTCTGGACGTGAAATTCAGGACAACATTTTAAATTGTTCAGCAGAGCCATAAAGGCTCTACTACAACTTCTACTACTCCCCTGGCTGAGATCAATTCACATTCACGTCATACAGTATATTTACACAATGAACCATTGGAATTTTGGATGCATTTATATTACAGCTGTATCTATTATTAAATACACATCTAACTTTTATATAGTCACAGATAGACTCAAGACTGTAGAGATGCTGATTTAATTAAGATAATGGATCATACAGAAATACTTTAGTAATAAAAGGCAGAGGGACCAGGTGAATGTATTAATATATTCAATAACATAGAATAATACTGCATATTCAATACAAATGACAGAAAAGATTCCACTGGTGTGTGTGGGGAACGAAATGAAAGAACAGAGGTTTGGAAGAATATCCTCTAAATCAACAATTAAGAATGCATAAATGTATGCTCCTAAAATGTGAAACATAATCCTACCTGCCTCTCTGCACAGGGACTGTCTGATCGGATAAGTATTTCCAATCTTCTAATTTTACTTCAGATTTCCCACCTTCTCTATTTTTTGCATTATGTGTATTAAATATGGTGTTAGTAGGAATTTGCCAGTATGTTATAATAAAGATTTTGTGTTTGCATTGTTTATTGATTTCACATGGTTTGGGGCAATGTAGAGATTACACAGTTTTATAACACATTGTATTAGTAATAATTTGTAATGTGAATGTTACAGGAAGCAATTGTGACATTTACATGTCAAATGCAACTTTAAATAGGTGTAGATGTTATAGGCACTTTACAAACAAGTGAAAATGACTGGCAGGAAAAGACCTGCTGTTCCATCAAGCTTACCCTATATATGACACCTGGAACACAAACTGAGAGACCCTCCTCACCAACTGTTCCCTATCGACCACAGCCAATTAATCATCTCGAAGAGGCAAAAGAAAAACCTGGAAAATTCCTTGCCTGAAAAGATCTGAAATCAGAACTCATTCCTGACCAAGCATCAACTATTATTTGCAGAAGACGGTTCCAAATCTCTACTAAGATAACAAGGTGTAGAGCTGGATGAACACAGCAGGCCAAGCAGCATCACAGGAGCAGGAAGGCTGACGTTTCGGGCCTAAACCCTTCATCAGAAAT